TCGATTGTCGTAGTAATTCCGCAACAGTTAATAATCGTTCATAATAGATCCAGGTATATAACCCCAAATTGTGAATCCTAATATTCTGGCATGATGTAAATCCTAGGCTTTTGGTTATTTTAATCTACGATGTTTGCATCTATATTTGATTTCGATTTTAGATATGATTTATATTCCTAACATAAGCCATTTAAATCTCTTATTTTTTTCGAATAACTAAAAAACATTTTAGTTAATAATTTTTTCATTTCTTAATTAGAAATATCATCTAGTGACCCGATAGCCTAGTCGAGTCATTTGCGTCAGATAACTATGGTAATTACGAGTTATCATCATTCTTGAAAATTCCAACATTGCGCGCTTATAAGACTTTTGATGTCATTCCCTCATCAGATTTCAAAGGTAAATTCTGTTTATTTATCAGAACATCTAAAACAATTAGATTTTTTTCAATTTTAATTCTAAAGAATTTGTTTCCTTTTATCTATCTTCGACTTGTACCACCGAAATTATATCACTCTTAATTCTAGTAAATCCACAAGGAAATTCGGTTGTATGGAAAAGTAGTAATTCAAATAAAGGATGTCACATTGATCTATGTAGCACATCACCAAGTTGACCATGAATACATTAATGATTTCTAGTTCAACCTCATTGATCTCTTTGAAATGTAATTGTTGTGAACATCGACTTGCCCAAAACTCTCTTGTATATACTGTAAATTCGCACAAACTGCAACCTGAAGTTTCCACAGAGAGTGTTGAGCATTTCCATTTGGTCATCTGGTTATTTAAAATCGTATAGTGCTTATATTTGTGATATAAAACTTCTTTATGTATTGTAGAAACAAATTTCTTTTGCTGTTAAAATTCAGCATCTTTATTTTTTTTTCAATGTAGTGCAGATTTTTTGCAGGCTTATTTGTAATTTTCATCCATCAAGACAAAGACAAAAAAACTATCAAGTTTATAGATATATGCAAGTATTGTAAATGTTTTAAAAATCAAATACATATAAAAGATAAGAAAACAAAACAAAATTGAAAAAAGCAGAAAGGGTAAAACAGAAAGAGTCAGCAGCATGACTGAGTCCTCTAAGTTTCACCTGTAAAACAGGGCCAGCAAGTGGCAAAGGCTAAGCCTTGAGACTTCAAGATCCTCTAAGCAACATTGTCTTAGCTTCTTCTTCTTTACAATTCTTCTTGGCTAAAACATATTTCTTGCACCAGTCACCATCAAAAATTGCTGAAATGCTGCTACTTTTTATATCAGCATTTTGCTTAAATGTAGCAGGTATATTTATCTTCTCCTTGCTTTTCTTTCTGTGCACACATTATCTTGGTTACTTCTTTTACGGCTGTCATTGAAAGAATATTGTGATAGACCCCAATCCGGTTCACATATGCAAACATAACTGCAGCCACGTCATTTATTATTCCAGAATGTTCACTAGTTAGTTAGAGGGTCAAAAGTGTAATAAGTCAAGTAATTACAGTTGAGGTATTGCTTATAAATGTGGTGGGGAGGGGGATTAGAGGGGGGGAATCAAGTGAGTGAAAGTGAGGCTTAGGAGAGTTGTAGTCCTCTCGAACGACTACTTGTATTCCATAGTCGGTTCTAAGCTCGAGAAAAGGAAGATTTCCATGTAAAACCTTGTCAGATCTTATGACATAATTTTTAATAAGATCCACATAGATATCCCAATAAATAAGTAATAAAATAGAATTTATATAGCCGACTTTAATTTCATTTGGAACAAACAAGCATTAATAATTGGTTCAAGATACTGCAGATGGTCACATCAGAGTATGTTAGGAACACTATGAAGACAATTTGCCATCTGCACCACGAGTCATTTCTCTGTGCAATAAGTATAGCATCCACAGCATCCGTCTCTAACCAATCAATTATCCAAGCCCTCAAGGGAAACCCCAGCATTTCAGTCATTGAAGGTGTTCCAAATGAAGAACTCCCGAGAATTGCAGGAAGTTCCTCGACTTCAAAATTATGGGTCCAAAACAATGTACTCAATTATGCCAATGTAAATTTCAGGTACATAGCAGTTGGAAACGAAATCAGTCCCAGTTCTAATTTGGCACCACATGATGTCCCCTCCATTTAAAACATTCGCGGTGCCATTTCAGAAGCCGGGCTTGGAAAAGAAATCAAACTCGCCACTTCCTTTAGTATGGACGTTCTTGCACGATCATATCCCTCACCATCAGGCTTGTTCAGGTCTGAAATTCTGTCCTCATTTATCACCCCCATTGTTAACTTTCTTATGAAAAATAAGAGCCCTTTGCTTCTCAGTGTGTACAAGAATTTTTCTTATAGCCGTAACACAAAGGACATTAGCCTGGCTTACACACTTTTACATCTACTTCAACTGTGGTCAAAGATGGGTATTATGAGTACCAAAGCCTGTTTCATTCTATGGTAGATGCAACGCACGCAGCGTTGGAGAAGACTGGAGGGGGCCAATCTAGAAATTGTTGTTTCAGAAAGTGGATGGCCTTCCGCTGGTGGAACAGCAACTACTCTTGAAATGCCCGGATTTATAACTACAATTTGATTAAGCATGCCGAGACAGGCACCACAAAAAGGCCTGAATAACCTGTAAGAACTTACATTTTTTACCTGATCGATGAGAATCAAAAAAGCCCACTATTTGAGAAACAATGGGGACTCTTTCTTCCTAATCAACAACCAAGCTCCCATTTGACAGATATTCTTTCAAAATTCCTTTTTTCTCAAACTCATTTTCAACTACACACTCTCACAATAAAATATTTTTCACGTAAACTCAAAGCTTTCCACTTTGCAACCACACATTCTTCAAAAACTTACTATTCAATAAATTATTCTTTCCAAAAAATTATGTCAAACAGGGGCTAAAAATCCTCTTTTGTACTTTAAGACATTAAATGGAGGCTACTCATACCAAACAACATTAGTATATCTTATTCTACTGTCAATATGATGCCCCGTCAACTGATTCCTGCATTTTTCTTCACGATCATCACTTCTATGATCGTCCCTAGAAATATACTAAGCACAAAATAAACGGTTAAAAATGACATGTCAATGAATTATGAGTGAAGGTGCAAGGAACAACGCATATATAGAAGTACATAACATGATCTTTGGATCAAAGTCAGAAGGCAAAGATTCAGCAACTAAGCTAACACATTGCTAGCAGTAGATTCAGATAAATCAACAGACAGAATATCTAGCAATTAAGCATTTGTGCAAGGATAAAAAACACAAAACCCTCCTCCTTAATCCGGGCTTGGGACCGGCTGTGTGATGCTCAAGTTCACATGACACAGGCAGAGTTAAAACTTTTTTTTTTTTTTTAAGACAATCGTTAGTATATTGGCCTACCTTTTACCAGTTAACAATACCAGTCGAGTAACCTGAACTTGTAGAGGTGAGTGTTTTCGATGATCAGTAACTCATCAATCTTACCTCGATCTCTTCAACTTCTGAAATTTTAGCTTCAAAGTTCGTTCCAAGCAAGTCAAACTAACTAATCATCTAGATCCTCATTAGTATCCAAGACTTAATTAGGCTTTTTATCGCAACCAATAACTTTTACTCTAGCACTGAGGTAGCCTCTACCTTAGTAATTATTTCCTACATACTTCATTCATATAGATTTTAACCACGCAATGCTGACTTTCACTCATTAGTGAGGGTAGCTTTTTCCATAAGTCGGTAGCTTTCACTCTATCACTGAGGTAGCCCTCTTTCCTGGTAGATTGTCCTCTACATATTTGTGATACATAGGCTCAAATTACTCAAGATTGACTTCACACATCAATGTAGGTAGCTTTTTCCGAGATTTCAGATGGTAGCTTTCACTCGTATCACTAAGGTAGCCTTCTTCATTGGTAGACTATTTATTTGAAATACATATGATCAAATTACTTTGGGTGACTTCACGCATCAATGTTGGTAGCTGTTTTCAACTGGACTAGCCTCACTAGTGCAATGTCTTTTTTTGGAACTGTAGTTAGGAACAGAATCTTAGTTCACAGTCAGTGCTCAGTTCAGACTTCTCAAATAAAATAACTTCTATATTAGATTTCAGAATAGGATTATAGTTACAGATCCTCTAGAACACTCAATGCACAAGCTCAAGTTCCCCTAAATGAATTTTTTAAAAGACGGTTAAGCATATTTGTTAGCATGGTATTTAGATTGTTACTTAGACAATTCTATACTTTAATGAGTTGCAACACAAGACAAGATCTTTCAATTTTTTTTAAAAAAATTTTACGGACACGTGTGAGAAGTATTATTTAAGACAATTCTATAGTTCAATTTTATGTTTTTCAATTGTTACTTTGATATTTTTTTCATTTTATTATTGGATCTACAGTATTTTTTACTTAGAATTTTTTTTTTTTTTTAATCAGTAGCAATCTAAATACCATGCTATTTTCAGTAATTTTCTTTTTTTACTATAATTTTTTCATTTTTTTTTAAATTTTCAGTTTTCTTTTTTATTATTATTTTTAAGATTTTTCGTTTTTATGATATTTCGTAAAAAAAAACATTTTTTTTAGTTTTTTCTTTTTTAGATTTTCAGTTTTCTTTATTTCTTTTTTTTTTTTTTTTGCAGATTTTTCATTTTTATGATATTTTCTGTTTTTCGATTTTTCATTTTTCATATATTTTTTTTTATTACCTTAGATTTTCCAATCTTTACTCCAGGCCAGGCCACCTACGGAGTTAAAACAAGAAAAGAAAATTTATATCGGCATGCCTATTACTCCAAAATTTACACTTCAAATTTCTATCACGAAACCCTATCTACTGTGAATAGATGAAAAAGAAGAAGAAACTTTATTTGATTAAGGAAAAGATAAAGATACCTTCAATACGGTATATATACCGCACTGACAAGGGGCGCAATCGGCGGCAAATTGTATACACGATTGGCATTAGTTGGTGTAATTGTCGTCATCCCGCTGAACCCCTTTAATCTTTTCGGCACGTGAATCTTTCTTAGCCAATTTCGCATCTTGGAAGGTTTTTTGATCATTTTAGGCGTAGAAAGTTGTGGTGAACAACCAAGGAGAGGTGCGGTAGGGGAAGTTGTGGAGGATGGCGATGACGACGGTGAAGATGGATATATTTTCACGAAATCTAAACAAGAAAGATTGGCATAAAAAACAAGATTCAAGAAATTCAATGTAAACCAGGAAATAAGGATCAAGAAATTGAATGTAAACCAAGAATTAAGAATCAAGAAATTGAATGTAGACCATGAAATAAGGATTTAACATCGTACTTACCTTTAAAGTTCGGTGATGTACGTTTTTTGGGTGGTCCGGTAGAGGAAGTTGTGGAGGATGGCAATGACTCTAAACAAGAAAGATTAACATAAATAAACCAAGAATTAAAAATCAAGAAATTGAATGTAAACCAAGAATTAAGAATCAAGAAATTGAATGTGAACCAAGAAATAACATCTCGGTTACCTTTCAAGTTTGGTGATGGAAGTTTTTTGGGCGGTGCGGTGGAGTAGGATGAAGGTGGTAGAATCACCATGTTTGTGAAATCAAATTTATGCAGAATACGTGTTTGAGAGAGAACGAGAATGGCAACAGAACTGAGGATTGGAGTAAAAAGTGCGAGTGATGAATGGTTTTTATAAGCACTCTTTGCGGTCTTCGACTTCGACTGTGGGTCCATATGACCTTCTATTTCTCAGACTTCTTTCCTTTCCATGATTGTGAAAATTTTTAGAAAAACGTAACATGATAATTATAGTTATTTACATTATATTAAATTTAAATAAATAAATAAATGTCACTTATGATAAAATTAACTTTTATGTCTTTAATAAATTTAAATACATGTATTATGTCTTTAATAAAAAAATTGAATTTGACTTCTACGTGAGTGACTTGAGTATTAATTCGTAAGAATTTCAACTTCTAATTATGATTATTTAACAATTGAGTGGGGGCAACTTTCTTTTTCTTTTTTTAAAAAAGGTGCAATTTAGCCCTTGTTTGACAAATATTATTTGGGTAAAATTGAGTTTTGAATAGTAATTTTTTAAAAAATTTATGGTTAAAAAGTAGGAAATTTTTTTAGATTTATGTGTGAATGTGTAGTTGAAAATAAGTATATAGAAAAAAGAGTTAAAATATTGGTTGTCAAACTTATACTTGAGGTTGTTGCTACAATGGATTTTGCTCCTTGATATTTCACCTATTACACTTTGGAGACGGCCAATTTTTGAGGCAAGGAGAAAATCGTAAACAATCATATCATAAAATCAAGAGAAATATTATCAAAATATCACTGCTGATAGAGGAAGATTACCATCTAGAAACAATCCATCAAACGAGATTTCACTGTGTCCCATTGTTACACTAATAAAATCTGATACTACTTTCCAATAGGAATGGCTACGAGTTGGGGTTGAGACAGTCATGCTTGTCGCTCACCCCATTCAGGTATTTTTATCTTCTTGTCCTACCTTCATACCCGATTAAGGTGGAGGAGGGAAGGTTTGTGGCCGTTTATTGTCCCATTTACCTTTTATTTAATTTTTGACTTTTAAATTTTTTTTAATGTTGTTAGTTAGTGAACATCATTACTTTTTTTTTTTTCAAATTGTATGAATATGCGGGACATATAATGGAGTGGGGACCATGATCCCTATATTTGCCCTGCTCCCTTCTCGGGCAAATGACCCCCTCTAGTCCCCGTCCCGTGTACGCCATTTGGGACGGGGGCCCAACGAGAATCGAGTATAGCATGTTATTTTTTCATATTTACCTACCAATTTTGTTGACGAAGAAGTTGAGTAGAAATCACTGCAACACGATAAATTTGTGCCAATAGGGTGATGAATATCTCTCCCATTTTGCCACTAGCCCAATTTTTAGAGTAAAACAAAGGAAGAAAGCCTTCTTGTCACCCCTTTGCTCAATTAAAAAGACTTAAACATGCATCGTTTATAGTTGGATATGCTTGTTTTTTAATTGGGCATTACATGATTTTTTCAGGTGGAAATTACACATATCCCTAATTTTAAACTACCCAATTCAAAATTAAGATTTAAAGGTTTTCTTTTTAAAAATCGGATATAAATCAAATTTTAAATATTAATAATATTATTATAAAAATTAAATTATTTTACNTTCAAAATTGAGATTTAAAGGTTTTCTTTTTAAAAATCGGATATAAATCAAATTTTAAATATTAATAATATGATTATTAAAATTAAATTATTTTACTTATTCACCACACAATTATCCACCTTACCCAAACCTTAATTATCTCCCTCTCTTGTTTTTCTCTCTATACCTATCTATTCTCTCTCTCTCTCTCCCCCAGCCTCTATCTCTATAACTCTACCAAAGTTGGATCTATGCAAAGATCTCTCTCTCTCTCTCTCTCTCTCTCTCCCCCTAGCCTCTCTATCGAAGCCAAACCTCTGCGCGAAGAGGTGAGCTGCTACAATGGAGGCAACGTCGCTAATAGAGGCACCGCTCTGGGTTATTTGCAGCTTCGAGCGAGGTGTTGCAATGGTAGTTCACTAGTGTTGCAACGGCCGGCGAAGAGATTATAGTGTTGCCTTCGTGGAGGAGAATATGGGGAATGACATATTAAAATATAGGTGTTTCTTGGTGGCATACAACATTGGACAAACCGATGTAGAGATTATAGTATTGTGGACCTGTTAAGGTCGTGGTAGCGTTATCGACGATTTGGGGATTTTTGGTGGGGATGGTGTTGTGGAGATGGAGATAGAGATATAAGAGGTGATATTTGTGATTTTGGAGAGCCATGATGGTGAGGTGGTGGTGGCGGTGGCTATGGTTGTGGATAGGCGGTTCGGCCCTTTTCCAAAATATTTTTCTGTTTTAAAATTAAAAAAAAAAGATAAACAAACACTCCGCTTTTATCCGGACTTAGGACCTGCTACTTCAATTTCGAGTAGACGGAGTTAAAAATTGTACACGAACAACTTGTTATGTGTAAAATTTGAAAAAATATATATAATAAAGGTATTAAAATAAAATTTTGTGATGAATATGAATAAATTAAATATCACTTACTTGACTACATGCAATTTCGGCATATTTATCTTGTAGTCGATAATTAACGTCTTCCCAGTGCTTCACGCTCATTAATGCTTCCAAAATATCTTCTTTTAGTCGACTCCTGATCTCGGAGAGAATCATCTTCCCTGCACTAAAAGCAGCCCTTGTTTGACACCCATTTTGTTTGAAAAATAATTTTTGGAATAGTGATTGATGGAAGATTTTGTGGTTAAAAAGTAAGGAGAATTTTTGGGTGTATGTGTAATATTATTTTATTAATATAATGTGTGGTTAAAATGAAGAATAAGAAATAGAATGAGAAATAAATGGGTGTCAAACAGGGGCCCAGGCTCCAAAGTTACAGTGCTAACCGAAAGTGTTAATAGATCTTTTGCCATTGCAAAAACTATTGGCCATCGACTTTCATACGTTCGCTAGAAATCAATTTGAATTTTTCCTAATTGCATTGT